TGTTACAGGTGTAAACCAGTTTCTGATCACTTAAACCAGTTTTTGTGTAATGTCTGTCCCTAGCTGAAGTGGGTTAGAATTAGAGCACATTGCCAGATTCTGAAGATGTTATTCTTTGTCAGACTTTAGTTCCCATATTTGAATTGTCTTTGGAAAGCAAGCCCCTTTCTTTTACAGCTTGTTGAGAAACTATAGTCTAGTATGATTTACAGGTAGCACAGTGTTATCATTTTGTCAGCTTCTATTGAAGTTCTTGGATCAAACCTTCCAGACCAACCCTGAATTAAAATTTTGGACTTGCAAGTTGTTGGGTCCTGGGCTCAACGAAAACTATTTGGCTTAAATGTCAGAGAAGATATGTGCTTTGTCTTTGAAGCAAATTTGGCTTCTAAAAAGAAATCAAAATAGGCTTTAAAATGCTTTGCCTATTTAAGTGCAGGGAGGGAGTCAAAATTGCACTGAATAATGTAAGAGGGGAGAAGCTTGCTTACTTTTCTTTTAAATTTTGCATGCAGTAGTTGAAAGCCATGTAGAGCAGTTTCTTAAAATATGCAAGTAACAAACAGAGGGGTCTTTACCTTCACACAACAATGGTATTTCAAGATAAACTTGTTCTTCCAGTCTTGCCCAAGCCATGTGATGCCTGTCTTAGAAATGTTTGGACACAACACTGAGGGTGTATTTTCCTTTTTATATCAGACCTGTTTCAGGACCCATGGCATTGCACCTGCATTTCTTTGGATGTACAATTTTCAGCTCACAAAAGCTTGTGTAGAAAACAGTACTTCAGGTTTGAAAATCAACCCTGAAATTTTTGGTTTCGAAGACTAGAGTTGGCAGGGTCCAGGATGCTGTGCATTTATATCATATTTACCTGAATCCAAGATGAAATCAAGTTTAAGACACCTCTATGACCCTCGCCCCATAATTAGTTTCTATACATGGAAAATGATAAAATAGTTGCTAATTTAAGGTGACCTTCCAACTTCCTGCCCTTCTCCGCCACTACTGTGGGGAAAGCAGTGACAGGAAGGCAAAGCAAATGGGAGAAAGGGGAAGGCAGGTAGCCTGCCCCCTGCCCCTTGCACCCTGTGCCTGTCCTCCTGCCACTTGGTGTCACCACCCCAGTGCCTGCCCTCCCTTGCTGTCCTCCTTGCTACTTATATTCTCCCCCCCCCCCCCCAAGCTGCTGTTGCCTACACTAGGAAGCAGCTCTGCTTCTGGCATTGGTTCCGGCCCAGGTCACTGAGCATGCAGTGGCCCTGGCGCTGGCCAGGCTGCAGCTCCAGGCTCAGGTTGGGGCTGTAGCTCCAGCAGCAACCTTGTTGCTGCCTGCTGTCCTTTGTCTCTCTCCCGCGTGTTGTTGTTCCCCCACACTCCCTCCTCCACTGCAGGAACCACCGCATGCCTCCTTGCAGCAGCAACTCTGGCCCTTACTTGGGACAGGCTGCAGTTGTAGCTCTGTCTCTGGCCCTGGGCCTGGACTGCAGCAGCAGCTATAGCTGCCTGACCTGGGCCAGTATTCAAATTGTTGTTTGGGAGTGGAGGGGGAATTCAAGTAAATGGTTTCAAATAAGTGCAGTATATACAATATGTATATATGCATACAATACTCTCTTTAATTTTTTTTGTTATTAAATTTTGTAACCTCAGTTGATACATTAAAAGATTTGCACGTTCAGTGTTTTTTTTCTGGGAGTATGTATACCTTGCTAATTGGTTATATGCATCAAACCATACATCAACCCCAAGGAGAAAAAAATTGTTTTGTTTTTCGTTTTAGTGTGATTTGTCCAAAGGCTTTGAAAAGTTTTACAACAACAAGAACCCTATAAAGGCTTGCTTTAATACTTCCATTAGCCATTCCATTGTATAGTGGATATTTTTTCCACTGCCTTGGAACTGACTGAAAGCAAACCTCTTGGACCATATTATCAGAAGCCACAGTTTATATAATTCCTTTGGGGAAACACAGCTACCATGGTATGATTCCAAATGCTCACCCAATATTGGCTGCACTGGATTTAATTTAGGTCAAATAATATCTTTTTGCTTGTGGTTATAACTTTCACGGCAACTTTGCATGTAGCATAACAAAAAAACACTACACTTGTCATCTTTGACATTATTTTTTTATGGACAGCTAAACTGTGCCAAGAGTCTTCTAATCTTGTAATTAGTCTTTGAAAGATAAAATTAAATAAAACATATAGTTTCTTTAACAGCATCATCTCAATAGTATGTTGTCTTAAGCATGGACATTGTTGTGGCAGTGAGAATTTTTTAATATAGATTGAAATCTAATTATGTACTTATAGGAGTTCTCACAGTAATGTAACTTTGTTATTTTTGGAAAACATGCATGTAAGTATGAAGTATCGTGCTGTGGAGTATTTCCTAAGTATCGTCATCATCTGCAGTCCCTCATGGTCCAGGATGATCACTCCCATGGGTCAAGTATAGGGATGTAGATGAGCCTGATGGTTGTCTATGACTAACTCGGCTGATCCTAGAGCTGCAAACATTAGGAAATGCCATAGGTGTTGGTATACTAAGTGTACTAAGCTATATTAGTTAGTATTGGGAACACTTGTCATGTTCTGACAATTTATTGTAACATTGATTTGTGTAGATCAATGTGAGATGGTCCTGTCAGTGTTGGTGGTTAATAAGTATACTAAATACTCTTGGAATAATTATTTCCCCTCTCAGTTCTTTGAGTAATTAGGAAGATAACTAGCTTAGATATCTCAGTGGTGGTAGAGAAACCTAACAACTGATTAAATGAATGTAGGGCTATATATCTATATCAACATTACTAATTTAATTTAGAATAGTGAACTATAATGACTATTCTGTGTAGAACTATACATGCCAACCTTTGTGCCGGAGATGCCCATCTTTGAAGCCATACTACTTTTTAAATTCCTATTCAGTTTGCCATAAATCAAGGAAGTGACTATGTACTTTTGGAACAAGCAGTCTTGATTGCCATTCTGATACTGCTTGCAGGTGCAGGGCACAGTTCAGAGCAGAGTTCAGTTCTTTTTTAAGTCTGTTTGAGAATTTTAGTGTATGATGACTACCAAGCAGAAAGTAGAGAACAGTGCTTGAATGTAAATGTCATGATAAATTTAGAATAATTTTTAACAAAATCCAAAAGTGTATGTACACTGACTTGGAATCCATTTTTAAGACATTTGGATTTGTGGTAGCTTGTTCTTTATTAAAGGTATGGTAGCTTTAACTCTGAGAATTTTACTTTATAATTTACTTTAGTTACAAAAATGTCTGTTTATGCATTCTGTTCTTGCTGCATACTGTACACTTGGTATCTAAACATTTAGTTAGAATTACTAAGTCCCTCTCTTTCTTTTTTTAGGGAAGATTTTTTTTTTCGTTTTCCAATGTTAAACCAGGTAACATTTGGAAGGGCATAATCAGAATTATGCAGCTTGTCTCTATCAGCGTTGGTAATGCTCAAAATCGGTTGCAGATGATGTCAGATCTTGGAGTTATAAAAGCTCTACAAATGAGTGTGTGTTGAATTTCAAAAACTGTCATCCCCTTCTTTCTTGACCTAACTCCAACAGTTTAATAATAGATCCTGTTCACACTATATCTTTTTTTCCCTTTTTTTTTTTTTTTTTAAGTTTTAAGCTTGTGATATCAAGTCAGCATGAGCAAAACCAGCCCTGGATCTGGAATCAATCAATGCTACCTGGAAATAATCAAGCTAGAAATGTTTTAATGAAGTCATCTTAGCAGCGGATGAAATTTGGTGGTTGGCAGTGCTGACATGTCAGCAGTAATGGGACAGTGCTTGAAAGCATGCACAATTTCATGTATCAGTCATAAAATAGATGGCTTGTGTGTGCGTGTAGCCTATATTAAAGAGATATAAGACTCAGTGATAAATTATAAGATGTCCCAGCAGACAAATGTCTGTCTTTCTGATGTGTATAATGCCTAGTAGAAGGAGGTCTTACGCAGAGCTCTGAACATTGAATGCTATAAATACTGAATCCATAAAGAGCTAGGAATTTTTTTATAAATGGAAATCTCTAGGGCTGTAACCAAATATATCAGTATTACTCCAGATTCACTACAGATCAGTCAAAAGGTATATTGAGCTATTGGGTCCCCAGAATTTACAGGCTAGTTTGAATAAATAAGTAGCTTAATCAAGTTTCAACTGGTTATGTTTTTTCTTAGGTTTTTTTGCTGTAACCCATTAATATGACTTATCCAGAAACCTGAAATAAATACAAATGGATCTGGATTGCTGATTTTAGATATCCATGCCTACATTTTGTTTAAATTGTAAAGAATTCTGTATACAGACTGAAAATTATATTGGACCAAACAAAGAGAAGTCTAAGCTTACTAGACAGGGGCAGGTATAAAAGATGATAGGGGCTTCACTAGCAAGAAACAGGTTAAATTGTATTTACCTGAATCTAAGATGATCCCTCTTCCCCCACCCATAATTAGATTCTATTCATAGAAAATGTCATGGCCCTATTGAAAGCAAATAAGAAGCCATTGCCATTTTCTTTCTTTCTGAGTCTGAAACATTTGGAAGTTATCTTTGCAACCTGAAGTGTCGGGAATGTCAGTTTCCTTAAGAGAGCTGAAATCCTATAGAAATTAAGTATTGGGCCACTATGTTCATCAAGTTAGCTTTCCATTTACTGATGGAGTTTTTACAAATCTGTATACACATTATTTTTTTTGTACAATGATGATAGGTACCTGTGTAAACTAATAATAGTTATACAAAAGAATTTCATCGTTAAATAACTCATACATGTATGTCTTGTTTTGTTGTTTTGCTTTGTGGGTAAACCGTTTTATTCTGTGAACTGCATATATGTGTAGTTTGCAGTATGGGGTCCATGTTTTTCAACAGCTTTGGCTATTGTTCCACTTCACTGACTTGTCTAATTTGATCACCATATGTTTTATATAGCCAACAGCATTTTTGTTTCTCTTTACAGGTATTTAATTAGTCAAGGAGCACACGTAGGAGCTGTAAATAGTGAAGGAGATACTCCATTGGATATTGCAGAAGAAGAGGCAATGGAAGAGCTGCTTCAAAATGAAGTAAATAGACAAGGTAATGTGGAAGGCTTCTACTGTCTATTAGACAAATATATTTTTGTGAGTTTAAATGTGTGTAGAAGTCATTCTGATGGTTTGTAAAGAGGGTTATGGAAAACTTTGTACAGGCAGTCCTCACACTTACGGCAGGGTATGTTCCTGGAAAAGGCGCTGTAGGTTGAAATGATGTAAGTCGAATCTGTTTTTCCCATAGAAATAATGTTATAATAGGGGGTTATGTTCCTGACCAAGGGCCTGATGCCCCAACTTTTTATAGAAATGACCATAAACACCATATTTAAATCAACTATTTAATCAACTATAAATGATATACACTGTACAATGCAAAGCTTTCTAAAGTGTACTGTATATAAATCGATTAAATAGGGAAACACAGTAACTAATCACATAAAATTTTATTTAATCAGAAGGTAAAGGAACATCTTCATCAGGGTCACGGAATTCAGAAGGGCTGCTTTATTTTTTTCTGTAGTCAACAAAAATCAAACAAAAAACAAAAACCCCGAGTGACAATGAAAAGCTGGCATTTTCCAAGGGCTTCCTCGAGTCTAGTGAAGGGTGTGTCATTTAAAGGTTGAGAACCACTGATCTAGATGGTGTCTCTATCTCTGGTCTTTCAGTCACAGTCTAGGGGCATGGATTGTTTGGCATTCCCCCTTGGGATGTAAGGTCTCGTAGTCCAGCTGTTATTGGCCCTTAAACCAATGATTAGTAGTCTGTTCATGTTCTTCAAGAATTTTACTTGTGCAGACACTCTAGGCTGCTGCCACATGACAATTAAAGGAGCATGCTGACTTTGAAAGAATTTTCTTAAACACACATACTTAACTCATAGAAGAATGTGAGAGATGTGTATCTACTTATTCTTCCACAGATTATGCAGGCCTCTACCTCTGGTCTTCTCCCCACTTTTCAAACCGTTTGGTGTTTTGGCCATTATCTGTCAGGGAGGCCTTTCTCCTCTCTTACTCCTTCTCAGGCTTTTCATTGTGGCAGTCTCTCTCTAAGAAATCTGTCCCTTTTAAGACCAAGTTCAGAAACCTTATTTTCTTCTCTTCTTACCTTATGTTTTGTCATACTCCCAGGTCTCAAGTGGGTTTACTAGCAAGTGTATTTGAAAGCCAGTGCCCCGCCACCCAAGAGGAATGGTGTAGCTTAACATGTTGTAGTATGCAGTGCAACACATAAATGAGACGGCATGCAAAATGGAGCTTGAAATGTACCCTGTTTATTTCAAACTGTTTTCTTCCCTTGGAATGTACGGTTATCCATAGTGAAAAGTACATGTCAGTTTAGGGAGGTTAGTCACCTTTTTAGCTTTAAACTTTCATTTAAATACTCTTAATACATCAAGATAAACTATCCAGGGTTCCAGGTTCTCTGAGTTAAATAATTGGAGCCTCTTGTCTAAACCACATACAGCCATTTTCTGTTCAAAAGGAAGGGGAAATGACTACATCAGGGTGGGCAATTATTTCAGCTGGAGGGCTGCTTGATGAGTTTTGGTGAGCTGTCCAGGGCCACAAGGTAGCCGCACCCCTTGACAGGTGCCCCGCCCCCGGTCGTCATCTTGGGACTGGATGTCCCACCCCTTGACCTTTGACACCAGAAGTCCTTCCCTTGGCTCCTGGAAGTATTCCTTTTGGGAGGGGGGCGGCGGGAGCTGCTATCTTAGAACCAGAAAAAAAATCAAATCATCCTAAAAGTCAAACACCTATTATAACATTCTAATTTTATTACAAAAAATATTTTTGTCATGATTTGTGTTTGTATACAGAGATGAGTATATAATAGCTCAAAAATAAAGTCTGACTCTTGTATATTGTGTGTGTGATGTGTGGCTGGGGGTGTGTGTATGATGGAGCCTGGGGGGGTGTTGGGGCAGTTTGTGGGCGATATAGGATATGTTGCAGGGTGTGTGTGTGTGTGTGGCAGGTTGTGGGAGCTGTGTGTGGGGTATGTTAGGTGGGAGGGTATGGGGATCCCCTCATATACTCCCTCCCCCCCCATGGTGCACGGCTTCCACTGCCGGCGGCAGCAGGGCCTTGGGGTGCTCATGGCCTACACAGGCTCTGCCACCCAGCAGTATACTGCTCTGGTTAGAGCTGCATGTGGTGGCAAGGAGGCACAGCCAGGTGGAAGGGCTAGGCGGGATGCAATTAATTGGTGGGCACCTGTGGGTCAAAAGAAATTGTCTGCTGGGCCAGATGCAGCCTGTATTTTGCCCACCCCTGGACTATATGTTAACCAGAATTTGCTTCCTGTGGCTAGCACATAAAGAGACACCAACTTTAGGTTATTGGGATTTTCTTGCATGGTATTCTCCAAAGTTGTTCTCTGAGGGATCCGAGTTCCTGTGCTAATTGACTGTAATACTGTATTTTCTTGCAATCCAAATTTGGGGTGTGTGTATTGAGCGAGGAGGCTATGCTGGAATGAAGGCATGGGGATGCTAGAATGGCTGCTGCCTCCATTTGTGGAGGAACAGTGTAGTTTTCTGCTTGGCTGAAAACTAAAGGTGTAACCATTTTGCGGTCACTACCAAATTCAGACTGTACTGCAATCATGCACAATATTTTAATTTACAATATTTGTATCTTGAATTCAGAACTTTCCAGAGTACTCCTCTTCATGGGGCAGAAAAGTATGCAAATTTATTAACCCTCCTATGCACCCCTGCCATGTAGCCATTGTTTATGGACTCCTAAAGTGCAGTTTAAAATTTTTAAAAATGAAATACCAAGTTGCCATACAGAGCCCACTTTCAACTGTTTTAATGAAAACATATTAGCAGGTCCTCTGGCTGGTTGGAGAGGTTTTTTGTTTTTTTTGTGTGTTTTTTTTTTTTGTTTTTTTGTTTTTATTTTTTTTAGAATATGGATTTATATGATGCCCTCGTAATTCTATGAGACTGGGTCTAGCTCCACAAAGCTAGAAGGAACTGCTAGACCTCTTTGCCTCCAAATAGCTTTGTCTGCATTCGATGAGGAACAGGGAAAGCTCTGACCAACTGCATTTAACTTCTGTTTCTGTAAGGCACCACTGTATTACTGGAATCCATAGAAGTACTTCATTTCTTTGTCTGGCACTACATGTGTTTTTGGGGTTCCTGAGGCAAGGTGGGGTTTGTAAATCAGTTCATCATTTGTATTTCATGGATCACTGAACTGGTCTTAACAGACTTCTAAGAGTTACGTAAGCCCTGATCAGTTTAATCAAGCCACAGAGTATATTGTGTTGGTTTAGGCTATAAACAAGTATGACTGTAAGCAGCTTTTTAAATCTTTCCTAATCAAAGCTATGAACAAGTATGGTTATAAAGTCAGTGTAAAGAATTGACTGGTATCATATGCGAAAGACTTATTCACTGGAGAAGTTGTAAAGATGAATGGAGAAACTGCTTAGTATAAAAATGGCACAAGAACCAAAACTGCTTAGATAAAGCAATTAGTGCAATCTAGAGTCTGGGGAATAGGCAGCAGATATCAGATTGCACATAACCTATCCTGCCTGAAATTTTTGGCTATAAAGAAAGGGACCAGGGAACTTTATCGAAAAAGCTGTCATTGTATGGAAAGTCACAGGAAGTACCAAATGACCTGGGATGAACTAAATTTACAACGCTGTGAAAAGGCCTGAATTCCAGTCCTGGGGGTTTTAGTGCGACCAGCAACCTTTTGCTTTCCTTGAGATCCATGTGTGGGCAAGATTTGGTTAGTCTGTTCTCTTTAATAACATCAGCATGATTTAAGTTTAGTACTGTCAAAGAGTAAAATATCAACATGCTGCAAAAACATCTACTTTATTAGCTGGAGTCCATGGATTTTAGATCACGTTCTCTGAACTCCTCATAAAGAGCATCAGATAGAATGTCATCCTTTCAAGGTCAAGGCTATCTAAAAATATTGAGTAAATTAATTTCTGCAGTTTTGAAAGCTTTGAGAGAGGCCATTAGGTCTTAACTTGCCTCCTTAGCTCATTTTTAAAACCCAAATGCTTGTTCTTCGATGTTCCAAGATAGATTGTGCTTGTTATTTAATGTAAAACAAGTTAAAGCATTACGCTACTAAATCTTTGTTCTTCAAAATTTAGACCTGATAATATTTGAGTATTTTCCAGCTGACCGTATTTGAAAGTTTTCAAAGGTGGTGGATGAAAAAATAGAGAGTAATCCTGAAATCCATTGGATATTACTACCCTGAGCTCTTTGGAAGGACAGTGGAAAAATAAGTCTCAAGGGGTAGCATAGATGATAATTTCTGGAGTATACAGCATCTTGATAAGAGCAGTCAAGCTTGCTATGTCATGGTCCCCATCGTAGATACTTCCTAGTTGTTTGCACCAGTGAGAGAGCTAGGATGCCCCTTGAATAGGTACTATTAATGCTGCACTCTTTTTTTCTCTAAATTTGCATTCCTGTTGGAGGAGAATCTCCCCAGTTTCATTAGCTTCTGTTGTTCCTTTCCCTTCTAACTATGTAAGGAGACATAATGCATGTATTATTGTTTTTAGTAGTTCTAGAGCAGTGGTGCTCAACCTTTTTGACCCCTTGGGTCAAGATGAGTGGTGTAGGGCTGGATTGGGCCCTGTCTAACCCCCTTACCTGCCCTGTGTGCTGGGATTGGGTCCTAGGGACCTGGCACTGCCCCAAGCGCACTGGTCTAGAGTCTCAGGGACCCTGCACCATTCTTTCCTGTCTGCCGCAGCAGGATTGGGCCCTGGAACCCAGTGCTGCCCTCTTCCGGCCCTGCACACTGGGATTGGGCACCAAGTCTTGTGCACAGGGCCTGGGGCTACCATGGGGTCTGAAAATGTGGCAGGGAGCTGTGGCATGGTATCATAGGCCACTGTTGTTCTAGCGTAAATTTCTTGTCATTGCTATAACTCTCTAGGGCTAACTTTATAAATCAACCCATCTCTGGTCCATATGCAGTGGGACAAGGTTTTGTGCTGATATTTAAGTCCAGCTCTGAGTGATGGATACTAGCAACAGAA